CAGCAACTATATATTACAAGCTTCAGTAGGAAAAAGGGATTATACATTATTTAAATTGAAGCTTAAAAGGTCTTTGGTGAAATTATATTGGATGTGTTGCTGATTTGAATTTCTTTGTCATTTAGAAAATTGTATTTTATTATTTCCAACATTGGATTTTTAAAATAGCTCAAATTTTGATATATAACGAATAATGTACTTAATTAATTTTACAATCAAATGTATACAGTCCATTTCTGTTATATACAAGTGAGAAGCGTGTGTATTATAGATGAAAATATATAGATGTTCTTTCTAGATGTAAATCGACAAACTAAAATTAATTGTTAATGCAACTTTTTATTTGAACTAATATATATAAAACATAACGTGAGTGATATAAATATGCACTTTAATATGTACCGTTCAGACATGTTTCTTATGAAAAGGGAACAACTCTGATTATTCTCAAATAGTAGCTTTTTAGTTCATTGAATTCGTAACTGTTGATTTAACAACTTATATAGAACTTTAGTTTTAGATATTCAAAGAAACAAAAATGAATATACTTTTACTCATGTCAGTACATCTTAGCCGTCGTAAATTTCATAATCAGTAGATGTATGATGTACAGCCAGACGCTCAAACTATAGAAAGATACCGAATCACCTACCACTACAAAAGCTTTAACAGAATCATTATCAATTATTAATCGATATTTTGTCAACGAGGTCCTATAAAAAGCTTTTCTTAATTTGCTAAACGTAACCACGCACTTAGTAAGATTATCACCGGTGAAAAGGCGCCACGAAATTGCACTCTGCCGAGATTCCGTGTGTCCCGCCAGCACGAGAGTTTGGCTATCGATCGGCTTTTACGCCAGTGGCCGTCCTCTCTCTTTTCGCCGACTGCGACCCTTTCTCTCTCTCTCTCTCTCTCTCTTTCTCTTTCTCTGTCTGTGTGTCTCTCTCTCTCTCTCTTCGCAAGAGATGTACATGTGTACTTACGCTCTATTTCTCTTTTCTACGTTATCGCCCTGTCGCAGGGTTCTGAATCTTTTTTCTCTTCCTTTCTCTCTCTCTCTCTCTCCCCCTCCCTCTCTATCTTCCTCTCTGCTGGGAATTTACAGTTTTGTGATGATAAAGCTTCGATTAGCGCTTGGATAATTCAATTGTCGAGTGCAAGAGCACTTTTCGAGTGTGCGCCGATATCATTTTCCCTCTCTCTCTCTCTCTCTCTCTCTCTCTCTCTCTCTCTTTCTCTGTCGACATCGTCGCCTCGCAGTCGCGAGCGTTTTCTCTCCTCACGAGCGCTGCGGCACATGCACGCGGCGGACGCGGCGCCGCGACGCCCGCGCTCGCGTACGGAAACACACCGCGAATTGCTTTTCGCGCAACTCCCTCAGTGCTTGATTTTTTTTTTTCGTGCGACGGCGATGCTGCTGTATACTTGATTATTATTTTTCTTTTTTTTTTATTGTTGAAATTGATGTGAGGTTGGTAAGCAGTTTGCAGAAAAAAAGGATTTAAAGTAGAATTTCATTTGCTTTACTTTGAAATATTGCAATAACTGCTCTGACATTTTAGACTACAGACATCTTTTATCACTTTCGAATAAGATAAATCGAAGAAGATTTATTTCTAGTTAAAAATAGATATAATATATAATTTTGTAAATATCACGGCTTTACGTTTATGCCATAAAATTATTTGTGATTGCATCAAACATTTGACTGCTTATAACATTTTTTCTGGATATTTTTATCCGAACAATTAAAAAAATTAATAAGTGGACAGATGTTCTTGTTTAAAAATATCATTGTAAGTTAATATTTTAAACTAATAATCAATACTCTTGCTTTACATGTTCAGTTAACATTGATGGATAAATCTGACGATTGTTGTTAAAAATAGCGCTAATAGTTCACGGTATATATTGTTTCATATTGTATATCGACAAAAATGTAATATACGCTTGGCTTTTAGGCCTTGAAAGGGATAATACAAAACGTCACCGAAAAGTTGGCCAATTTTTCAGATTAATAATTCAACTCGAAAGGATCTGAAGAGGGAAAATGTTTACTTGATTACCCGAAAAACTTCATATTTAAACTATATCGAAAATTAAGTCGTATATTATCTCTAGCAGAAATTATCTGAACCAAACTATGCAATCTTCGAATAAGTTGGAACAACACAAGTTGATGTATAAATGCTTTTAACAAAACAACATAATTACCGTATTCGCGGAAAGTATAACAATATGTTAAACAAACACGAATCTTACAGTACCGCACTGTACGCAATCAAGATACCAATAAAACTCGTGACCTGAACATAAAAAGTAAAGACTCGATGCACTCTAACGTAATTACAAATATACTTAACTCTTAGTCATATATAACAATACCAGTCGACTATCTTTCGCGAAATAGCACACATAAGCAGACTCACACGCGCGCACGCGAGTGGCTCACAAACAAATAAATTGCACGACGATTGCAATCGGCCCGAAAAATCCGCATTCGGCGCGAGCGCAGGCGGGCGATACACGCGCTCTCTTGTTGCAGATTTTATTTGGACGCCGTTCAAGAGATGTAAAAGCGTTACCTTGAGCGCGCGCCTCCTAAGCATTGATTTTATTTTTTTTTTTCTTTCCGTTTCTGTTGCGGTAGGAGATACACGACAACGGCGACGACGTTTCTTTATTTGCCGATCGCGACCCTACAACTTTCTCGGGCGTCCGTTTGTTTTGCAATGTGGATTTGTGCGTCGCTGCAAGCGACACCTCTGCTCGCGCTTTCCGTTTGGCGGTTTTCTGCGGGTTGCAATTGATTAAAGCTTTTTCGTAATTTCGGATGACTTTGTCGTCATTGCAACTCAGCTCTTTTCAACTTACGTTGTGTACGCGTGAATTCGCTAATCTTGTATATTATTCAATGTAAAGTCAAAATTTATGTGAAATCTGTATAGATTGAACATTTATCTCTAGATGGAAAGAGAAAAAGAGTAATTTTACCATTTAAATGTTTGTACGAGAGAGTTGCACTTTCTGAAAGTATGTATCGCGTACTACAGATTACAAAATCGATACTCGCATTATGCCCTCCGAATTTCAAATTATCGAGTTCATCCAAGAGGGAGAGAGAATTCAAAGTCATACTTAGACTGCACTCAGTTTTCGATTAGCGAGTATGCAATTGACACACGCAAGGGAATCATTTATAATGCCCCAAATGTATAACCGTATATTTTAAGACCTTTATATGATTTTCAAATCCTCAAGTATTCGCGAGAACATTGATCCTATATAACGTTGTTCGACATTGAATGTCGAGTGCGAAGTTTTCGTTAAATTCCGAGACTCAAGTTCCCGCTGTGCTCGAATATGAATAATTGGCATAAGTAGTTTACGAATTCCCGAAAACTTCTAAAATATTTCCATACTTATAGACATTTGAATTTCACTTTAAAAACAGAAGTTTTCAGCGCAAAACTTTCGAATAGACTACTATGTCGATTGCGTTGCGGATGAATTTCGATCTGACGCGTGTTCAAAGAGCATTAATACGACTCCTTCAAAACGAAGCAAAGTTCGTCATTTTTAAACCTGATCATACATTTCAATCAATTCTTATATCGAAGGGTATTAGAGCGTGAACGGAAGAAAGGATGCAATCAATCCATCCAGGGCACACGTCGGAAAATTTTCTAAAAATAAAAGCGCGAGAAAAGAATAGTTAATCCGTAGTGTCTACAGGATGTGATTTGAATTCGTTAAAGAAGGACGGACGGCTGATTTTATTATTCCCCTTGAGAGATTTGAGAAAACGAGGAGAGAATCGGCGAGCGACGAGAGAGAAAGAGAGAGAGAGAGAGAGCGCAACGGCCTCCCTTGGGACATCCTTATTATTGACCGGTCGGCTCCCCGAATAGAATTTTATTTACGAAACACCTGCACTGTACAGGCACTGTGCTCAGGTTTTTTCACCAATTTTCACTCCTGATGAAGTTAAATTGTACATACCTTTTACTTTTTCCTTCTTAGGGGTTAGCGACTTTTAGTGGGTCATAAATGTTTCTTTTTTTTTACTTTGGATTTTTAGATAACTTATTGTTTATCTAGTTTGTGTGTGTATTTATTTTTTTTCTTGCGAAAACTTTGAAATGAATTTAATTTTAATAGAACAGACAATACTGAATCGATAATTATTCTGTACAGACGAATTATATTATATTTATTGTAAGCCCATGGAAAGTTATGTAAAGTTCAACTTTGAAATAACAGTTTTGGCTTAGATTTATATTAAAAAAGGGATGCATTTTTTTATGATTATCGAAATGTAGTTTTTTTTTAATTTGATTAGGGTGTAATAATCGTTCTGTCACAATTCTGAATATTGTACAATAATTTTTGATATAAAATTATTTCGCCTACTAATTTCTTAATTGTATTCAAAGAAAAATCTTAATATGTACGATAATTGGTTATCATTAATATATAAAAAAGTATCTACTTCTACATTTTCTCCATCAACAACTTCCTTTCACTAACTATTTGTTCAACAACAACAACAATAACCCGCAAGCTCATCCCGCCAATAAAAAGATGAAGAAAAGAACACCTAAACTCAAAAATAGCATCTCTACAAAACCACAGTACCGTAGTAAAACCATTTCGGCAACAAAACAATTCCCATCGAAGAAAAACACAAAAAAAGCTCACGCCTCAAAGAAGAAAAACGAAAAGTCTCGAGCGGCAGCAGTAGCGTGATGTGTCTCTCTGTCTGTATTAGTGCACACACGCTCGCGTATTTATACGCGAGAGCGAACGAGAGAGAGAGAGAAAGAGAGAGGGCAAAGCTAGTAAGCTAGGACAGAGGCTATTAATAACCGTTTGGGGTACTCTCTCTCTTTCTCTCTCTCTTTCTCTCTCTCTCTCGCTCTCTCTCTCTCTCTCTCTCTCTCTGTACCTGGCTGCGGCGCTCATACCGGCAAAACTCTCAGTCTCTCAGTGTCGTTGCCGCGCTGAGCTTGCGCGCGCTTTTTACATCCGCGAGTTGTGACCACTTCTGTATTTTTACATTTTCTTTAACACACAAGTGCGTTTTATTTTTTATTTTCTCTCTCACTCTCTCTCTCTCTCTCTCTCTCTCTCTCTCTTTCTCTCTCTTTCTTAAGTGTGTGTATATGTGATGATATTTAACTTTTAGTGAAATTGCCTAGACGAGCCATCACTATCGTCGTTTTTTTTTTTTAATTTTATTTCATCCGACCGAAATAAACCGACCGAAGAAATTCCACAGGCGCAAGCAAAGTGCATTCAGCGATTGTTACAGTGCGACCTATTAATAACGTTTGCTTGTTTATTTCATTTATTTATTTCTTTCGCCTCTAATGGAATTGCCGACGATGATGATGCTAATGACGAAAACAATCACGGTTACAATTTAAAAGCGCGCGCTTGCGCGCAAGGAGGTTTTATATAGTCGCGGAAGATGCGCGCGCGGTAATAGAGGAAGAGAAGGTCGCCGATGTCTCGAGGACGCGACGCGCACACACACGCGTTGTTTATTTAAAGATTATTCGGGGTGGGAAATTTTTCGCCTCGCTTATGTCGAATCTTTCGTTGGCAATTTATTAGGCAAACTTGATTTATTAGTTTAGAATGTGAGTTGACGAGAAAAGTCTTGCGTTTTGTTGTTAACGGATGAAATTTAATTTGAAAATACTTTATTTATTTTGTTACACGAATTATTAAGTGTTTGGCGAGAGTTTGCTCTTATATACTGACAATATATATCATTGTAAGTCCAAAAATATTTGGAACTGTTCTTTTTTTTAACTCATGAGTAACGTATATTGTTTCGGGAAGCTTACACTAGATGCGCCGTCGATAACATAGCTTACAAAAAATAAAATGTTACTGTAGTTGAAAATATCATTGACTGGATCGTCTTCTTAAATATTACAGCATAATGTCAAGAAAATAACACTTTAAGGCAGTTGTTTATACTTTTCTACTTAATCAATCATCGACAAAATATACCATTTCATCTTCTCAATGGAGCAACAACAAAATCACGGAAATACTTAACAAACTTCCAAAACGTTGTGATCCAAACAAATCGCCCAACCATTAATCGCAGAATCAACCCTAGAAAAAACACCATCCATCCCTCGATTTGTCTTCGTTTTTTTTTCGCAACGCCTTTTTTCTTCTTCTCTCTTCTTCCGCGCGCGCATACGCAAGAGAGTCGTTTCTCGGCCTCGCTAGAAATAAATGCTCGCGAGAGAGGCGAACGGCCAGCTCGAGGCAAACTAGCCCAAGCTGTTGTGTGAACGATTGAGTTTTGGTGATTGTTGAAACGGAAAGCGAGAGAGTGGAAGAAATAAATTACGAGAAGGTTCAAGTTTGGATTTTGGACTGTATTGTCAGTCCGAAAGTCATTTTCAAAGTTTTGCATAATTTTGTCGAAAGCAGGTCTAAGAGAATTACATAACATAAGTCATAGAAAAAAATATCTTTTCATCGATCAGAAAGACAGATAGACGTAGAATCGCCATTTCAGTTGTGAATGCAACATCGAATAATCTGCAATAAAGTGAAGGAGCTAGTAGCGACGGACAGAAACTGTGTTAAGTGTGCAGTGTGCGCGAGCGCGAGTTTCGTGGACAGATGAGGAGACGGCCGAGGAGGTCTAAGCGAGGAAGCATCGACGACGAGGACTACCACCACCTGCTTGCCGACGCTACACTCTGACGGCCCACAAATCCCTCCGAAAACACGAGGAAACTTACTAAACACAAAAGCTATAGATTTAGAGAGCTGGGACAGAGAGAACGACACAAAGCTCGATGGTTCGTTAACTCTTCAATTTTGTTGATTTTTTGTGTGTATATAAATTTGTGGATAACAGTGATTTGGGTTGTGTAAGATAGTTGATTTAGAAATGATCCAAAACAGGTTGTCAAGGTTAAAGAATACGGGGAACGTGGCTTTGAATTTCAAGAAAAGTATACAAAATGTTCTTTAATGTGATTTTTCGTATTGCCATACAATAACTTCAATCCATTTTAGAGATTTTTTAGTCCATTACTTTACTTTATAGTATCTTCAACAAGTGAAATTCCTACAATACGTTTTCTATTTTTATATAATATTTTTAGAATTTGGGTATGATTTGAATTTTTCTTATTTATTTTTAAAAGCAATATATGAATTGTTAAATTCCTCATAATGAGAATAAAATGATTCGCTCATTTCAGAATATAATAAAATATTAGCTCTATTCATCTTTTATGAAAATCATTATAATTATTCAAAAAATTCTAATTCTTATGATTGTAGTGTACAAATTTAATCTGGTCTTAGCATCAGTTATATTTTATATAAATCGAATTACCACAATTTTGCGAAATGAAATCGACAAATTATTGTAGTTTAAAATCAGATAAAATAATAACTGTATGAACTTCAGTAGAATATTACGCGGTTTGGTCAGACAGTCAAAATCATAATTGCAATTTATGAAATACCATAGCTTTATTAATATTTTTGACGTTGATTGAGTTTATGAATCTTGATATATAATTACTCCAATAAACACTAATTTAAGAAATTAAACATGTCAATAGTGTAAACTTTTTTTATCTGAAAATTACCGAAATTACTTTCAAATAATAAATCAATTCATACACGTTCAACATACTCAAATGCATTTTAAATCACAAAAGTTCTATAAAACTCATCATTTTCTTATAATGAACTTGACAGTGTTCATGCAAAAGTCAAATATTGAACGTGGTCGCTTTTAAAAGATAGTAGAGGGAGAAAAAAAGGTAAAAAAGGAAGATTTGATTTGAAGAACAGCTTTAGAAAAGCCTACTCCATTAACCATTTAAGCGAGAGAGAGAGAGAGAGAGAGAGAGAGAGAGAGAGAGAAAGCGAAGACGACGCGAGAAGGGATTTTTTTCGCCTTTTGGAAAAGCCTCTCAGGTGCAGAAGCTTCGGCGCACGTGCGCTTTATTTAGGTGGCACTTTTAGGAGACCACCGCCCGCGCTGCGCGTGTCGTTCGTGAAGCCGCGGTTACCTCAGTGACTGTGAATTAAGCCTTTATTTTTTTGCTTTCTCTTACCCGCGCGGTTAATAATTGTCTCTCTCTCCGGTTAATTTAAGCTCGAGATTTAATTTGTTCAAGAATAATTTTTTTATTTTTCGATCTTTTCATTTTCAAAATTTAACGCATTGATAATAAATACTTTGAAACAACTATATGTTCAGTATGATTATTTTATTTATTCAACGCCTGAAACGCACATGCGCGATAAAAAAATTACTTATATGCTCTACGCATTAATATCATAATTAATTCTTCTTAATATCATAATTAATTAATAATTAATTCTTAATTAATAATTAATTATCATCATATATTAATAATATCTCTACGCATTAATCGTGATTTCTTATGGTTCGTGAGAGGTCTCTGTAGATACAGCATCTACAGAGACCTCTCACGAACCATAAGAAATCACGATTAATGCGTAGAGATATTTCGTAAATCTCTGCATAAATAAAAAATGATCTTGGCCATTGAAGTGTTAATAACTTACTTATTTATTTTCTGTTGTGATCTTCAAAAATTTATGTTAAATGTATAGAAAACTGTTCTCAATTTTAAGAAAGATAAAGCCTATTCAAGAAAATTTTCGTCAAGAAATAAAACATTTAAAAATGTTTACAGTGCCAAATAATAAAAATCTATAAAAACTATAAAAATTATAATTGTTCTTTTAAATTGTATTAAATGCTATTACCTTGAAATAAATCAAATTATCCAAATAAATTCTTCATGAATTCATTTTCATCTAGATTTAGTATTAACTACTGACGTGTTCATCGAATTTAGTGGAACGCACAAAATTAATAAATGAAATAAAATGTTTACGTTGCATGATTTGCCATAAAGAACCAAAACGAAAAGAAACATTAGTCTGCTTTTTTATTAAATCGATCACGCACGAATTGGATATAGAACAATAAAAAGCCTGCGAGCAATTTGAAATATCACGATGATGAAGGGCCGCATAAATATCCTTTCCCGAAAATAGGCGGATATCGTAAGTGAGAGAGGAGTGAGCAAAAAAGGGGGTTAAACTCTCTCGGCCGGGGCTCCATGCATGTAGACTTGACCATTGATAAAAATCGTTTCCCTCCCCCACTACTATTCTCCTTCCGCGAACGCGCGACAAAAAGAGCGGCTTATCGACGTGATATAGTGAGCCTCTTTTTTTCCCCCCTGTGTTGAAACTCGCCACGCGATATCTTGATGTATTTTTGCGAAATTGCTATCTTTACGTCTCGACTTTGACAGATTTTCTGATAAAACAACAACCAATAGTTTAACGCTTTTTTCTTTAAGCTTTAATTTCGTTACGACAAAAATGTTTTAAATAAGCGCTCTTGTTTCTATACGTTTTAAGTGATCAGATAGATTCCTGATATTTTTGTCTTTTAAAAATCCAGGGTGATACGAGAAAACGACACGAGCAAAGTGTTGCGAAAGCCACTCGAAACGAAAGCCACCGGCAATATCACACCCTACGAAAAAAAAAATCTCGTTCGCAAAAAATTTCTCATCGACACTTGGTCATGTCTCCATCTCAGTGATGATATCGATCTGTTCTTAAAAAAAAATAAAAAAAAGTTGCCGACTGGAAATCCATAGACGAGAGAGCGACGCGATCGGCCAACGCTTTCTCGCGCGGGGCGGTTTGTGCTGCTCTGCTGCGCGTCGCGCACTCGAATACGGAAATATCCCTGCGGCCTGACTCTGCTATTTCGAGTCCCACTTCGAGACGCGCGCGACGCCGTTTCGTAATATCGTCGCCGACACTATGCTTGCTACGGTATACTATGTTCGTCGTAGTACCTTCTTTTTCTCTTCCTTGAACGTATAGTTTTTTTGGATGAGATTGTTTTGCTTGGCTGGCGTATTTCAAAGTCAGGTGCATATGTTTTTTTCTGAACGACACGTACCTTACTCTTTATGGTTGATATTCTTATGGATTTATCTGCGTCGAATTTTATTGAGTTCATTATGATTATCGTTATTGATTGTAATGTTCATTTTCAAGAACTATGAAACGTTAGACTATTCTGGAAACACGGAGATCGCGAAAGCATGTGACTCGTTACTCGAAGCTCCAACGAAATCTCACGAAACATTTCATCTATAAAAAAGAAAGAGAATAGAGAGCAAAAGAAGGAGGCAATCGTGAGAATGGATATTTTTTCCTCGTCGACGCTTTTTAATTTCCGCGTCATTTTTCCACTACCCACCTAACCATCCCCCTAGAGGAAAAGCTCGGGCGACTAAACGTTTTCCTCGGTCAGAAAGAGAGAAAGAGAGGGAGAGAGAAAGGAGAGTATATATGCTTGGAAAGCCATTGTTCAACGGTTCTAGAAAAATGAGTGTTAATGGCGAGCCCAGGAAAATGAAGTGGTTGCTGCTGCGCGCGAGAGCTTTTGATTTTTTTTGACTCTTCTTCGTCATTATTTGTCTTTCTTTGCAGGATGAGTTCCATCCATTCATTGAGGCTCTCCTACCATTCGTGAAGTCTTTCTCGTACACGTGGTTCAACCTACAGGCAGCGAAGAGGCGCTACTACAAGAAACACGAGAAACGGATGAGCCTCGAAGAGGAACGACAGTGCAAAGAAGAACTCCAGGTCAGTTTTCATTCGGTTCCCTTTTCATGCAGATCAGTCGATGGATTTTTATAATGTAAGAAATTTTATGGTTACTTTTAATTTCCGTCTAACTTTTTTTTCAAGAGTACTGATATTCGATGAAGAATTGAATTCTAAGTTTGAAGAAACAAATTTTTTATTACTACGTGATTTTTGTACTGTCAAATTCTAGTGTCTTAAAATTCTGATTTAACACTTGATTTTTATAATAGATGAAAAGGAGATCCTCAAATTTTTAATTCATTTGTTGCAGTTCAACAAAGAAATTTTTAATTATTATCCTTTTTTTTTGCTGATATTCAAAAGCAACTGATAAAGGTATTAACTGAAAATAAATTATTTGTTATCCGCTGAAAATTTATAAAAACACGCTATGTCGTCTTAAATAACATAGGTATTAGCTGTTAACAAACATTTTTTATACGTTAATTGATAATTAATGATTATTCTGATTAAATAAGCCTTCTTTTCTGATTTTTATGACTTACCTGTTTAACATATTGATAATATGAAATTTTTTCGATTATTTTATAAATTGAAAAACAAATCTATTATGGTGCATGGAAACTATAAAACCCCATACTGGCAAAGCATATGAATTTAATGTTTCCGGGGAGATTCATACTTTGATTGATGCAAACTAATCGTATATTATTTGTCGTACTGCTACCCACAGAGAAACTAGAAATTTGGTATAAAGAGAATCCATTAAGTTTCGTAATGAGAACCCAGCGAAAATTGTGTGCACGCAATTGAAAGTTACAGTGCACGAAGCGTTAAGGTATACACGCAGCATGCGCTCGAGCGCGAGAGAGAAATTTTGCTCTTAAGAGCAAAAAATAATGAGGTACGAGACTATTTTTGGCGGCAAACGACCTCGTGACGTCCTATCGCCTCAACAGTGGTTCTCGTTCTGATTTAAACTCTCGCTCGTGCGTTCGCGGCGTCGCGCTTAGTTCGTCGTTTCCCGAAGATTCATCAGCTGTCCCATTAACGCTCGACCATTAACGTTCGACCGGGTTCCGCTTCTTTTTTTTTCCTTCTCAAGAATGGGATTAATAAGCGTCCCTTCATTAAGGCATTCGGTTGGTCGGTGGCGCTTCGTTCGAATTCTTCAGAGTGGTCATCTTCAACTGGCGGAGACTCTTTCACAATTCAACGAGTGAAAATAACGCAAGGAAAATTTTGTCGTTTAAGGGGACGAAAAAGTTGATGAATTATATTTTCATGAACATTAAGATCTATATTTGAGGCAATTTAGCGCGATGTTTGTAGATAATATTTTCCGTCAAGAAATAACCTTCGAAAAGCAAGTCAATCTTCGCATAGAAAGACCTTGAAAATCTACCGAAATTTCCTCACCACTAAAAATAACAACTTTAGCCAGAATAATTACGCGTTTTACTAAATGATCCAAAACATTTCACTTCCAACAATCATCTCTAACTGGCTCGCAATAACACGGAGGGACCATGTGCTCGCAGGAGAAGGAAATATCAACAATGTCGCCTGTAGTCGCACGCGCATCCCTTTTGCCGTGCACGTCTTGCGCTCGACCCTCGGAAAATGCGCGTTAGTTATGCAGACAAGTGCCTCGCTGCCGCGTCGTCGTCGTCGTCGTCGTCGTCGGGCTCAATCGAGAAGAAGGAATAAAAAGCGAGTGAAAGGAACCTATCTCCCTCAAAGACGCGCACCAGAAGTCATTGACTTCCGGTTTCCGTCTGCGAATACGACCTGATCAATATTTTAATGCTGCAGTGTTTAGTACTTTCCAACTTTCCGTGCCTATATTTTTTTCCTTGCTCGTTAGACTTTTGCTTGGTGGATCGTTGCATGTAGAGTGCAGAGATCGTTTTTATTTTAGATGACTTAATAAATCTTTTGCTAAATTTGATTTTTCACGATTCTCTTTTGATGGATTTAGCAAATGTATTTTTCTCTGAGAGCATCGATTAGCCATTAGTAAGTCTGTTTTGGTTCGTCATTAGTGCTTTAAAAAAATGTCTATTTTTAAATATTTTGTTCAAGCCTAATAGTAGTTGTTTTATAAATCAATTCTAATTTCAGTTTTACAAGAGATCAACGCTAGTTGAAAAAACTTGTTTCCCGTGTACTTTTGCCTTACCTTTTTCCGATGTAGCACTAAAAAAATGTATAAAAAAGCAAATTTTTGAAAACTACCATTCTAAACGTTCTCGATAGCTCTTGAAATCAATTCATCAAACGGCGATTCCAATTCGGAAATCCTCCCCAACAATTCCTTACTGACAACAAGTGAAAAAAAAAAGTTCGATCCACAATTCTGCCCAATTCCTGTGCAGCTAGCAGCATGCAGCACGTTTTTTTCCTCGATTCCAGGCCGAGCGATTTTCTCTCCGTCGCGCTCGGGGGCCTATGAAATCCGTCAATCGTCGCGCATCCGAGCCGGAACCAGTGCGGCACTGTGTGATTTGCAGTCGTTCTTTGTTGAGATTTTTCTTTTTTTATTTATTTATTTATTTTTTTTTTTACTTTCGAGAGAGATTGATTTGTTTCTCGTTCACACACGTGAGTAGCGAACAATTTTTCGCTTCGAGAAATTTTTCAGCTAAGCAGAGCGCGAATGGCGATAAGCAAACTTTCGAATTGTTCGCTAAAGTCTTGGCATCGCTCTTGTGAAAAGTGTGCGTGTTGCTCTTTTTCTCTCGGAGAAAACTTCAACGCACGCGGAGCGAAATGCCGCAGTATGTGTGTATCGACGAATACACTTCGCGCTTCTCTCTTGCGCGGTGAGTTTATCGTTTTTTACTGGAGAGAACGTCCGCAACGATAAAATTTTTCGTTTTCTGAGAATATATTAGCTTTAATATTTTTCTTTCTGAAACTTTTCAAAATATCAGTTGAAGCCTATATGAAGTGATAGTACATTTTAATCAATATTTTTTATTTCAATGCGCGATTATCTTTTTTTTTTGTTTCACTGATTTTCGAGTCCATATACAGAGAGATGAACGTATCTTCAGTTTTCATTCGAGTTGATACTTTCGATATTTAAAAACTGACGATCTATTGTGCACTGTTGAGTAAATTGAATTACAAATTGTTTACTTTTGTTTCTTAAAACATTGAAAATAATGAAATTGGCAAAAAATATGATACTCACAGAATAGTTGTAAGTGAAGCTTTAAGAAGTTATCATCTCAAACTGTACGCCCAAGTAATCTAAGAATATAAATTCATAAGACTGCAAGAAAACTTTTTAAATTACGTGAAATAAACTTTGCAAGATAATACACTAAATCTCTATGCTCCTTAAATTATCAAAGCTAAGGAAGCACTCCACAAAAAAGACACGTAGAGATGCTCGTCTCTTCTCGAGTTATAGTGTAAAATCAGCATTTGTCTCAGAACGCAGAGAGAAACGTGAGCGTCGCTTGAAATTTTGCGGGGAAAAGGCCTCCTCCCTTAATTTCAAGACAGGCCGTGCGGATGATATCGACTACTTTAATTCCGGCGCACGACGACGAGAAATTGCGCGGGCGCGCAAGAGGCAAGAAAAATAGACGAGAACGTATAGAGAAAATAGGAGAATGCCATTCTTTCCCTTCCCCTCTAATTCCCCTTTTTTTTCCACTTTTGGTTTTTTTTTTTATTTTCGGTATGCGCTGTGCGCCGAAAGTTTCGCGAAATGTTTGCCAACCGCCGAGAAAAGCTGTTCGAATTGCGTGTGGGTTTTGTTGCTGCATTTCGACGGGCCTTACGAAAAATAAAATTTCCATCGCCTTTTGGTGCGCATACAAGGTAGCTTGTCGATTTTTGCTCGTTCGGGTGATTCCACGTAAACAATTGGGCACACATAGCTTGGAGAGTTGGCGAAAAGTGTATACCTTGTATAGCCAGTGGCCCGCAAAGGATTAACAAAGTTACGGCAGCCGCGCGCGGATAGTCTCGTGTCTCTCTGAATGCGCAGATAAGCAAATCCGAGCTTAATAAACACGTGATATCACGACAACTCCTTTCTAAAAAAAATTAAACTCTACGAATTTTCAGTGGGGAAGCTGGATAACTTTATGAGGTACTTTTACTTAGCTACAATCCTATGATCTTTTTTTCGTGAGCTTACGAACTCTTTTTCGTCGTTGTTTGAGCAGAAGAAGATAATGTCCGTTTATCGCTAATTAACTATAACATTTTATTTTTAAACGGAACAGTATATAGATAAAAAATTTTCAGGAAATAGACAATTTAATTAGCTAAAACACATGACTTATCGTGCAGATTTATGATACTTAATATTTTTATCTTCGGAGTTCTCTACTTTTATTGCTTGTTTGTGGTTTTTCTCCTAATAGTCATCTCTTCCTGTGCATTATGTGCATAATTTGAAAGTTTCACGTCAAAGTGTTTGAACTTGTTGGTTATCATAAAAAATGTGAATTTTAACTGATTAGCATGCAAAATTCTCTGTCTACACCTAAAAATTGTTAACATTCTAGTTGTAAACTGTTTTTGAAAATTTCTTTTATATTAAACGGTGGTGTTACAACTGAGTATTCAAAATCAACCAACGTTTGTAAAACTACAAATTTTAATAAACATCCTCATTTCCTACACTGCATATTTTACATTTCAATTTCAATTGATTGAATATTAATTATATGTTCCATTTTTCTACATACAAAGTAATATGACGTCGCTAACCAACTATTCTTCAGCAGCAATGTTTGAAATAATCTGTAGTGAGATAAATAGAATATAAAATCAATTATAATAAAAAGTTTTAATTATATTAAGTAAGAAAAATTGATCGATAAAATCGAAATAAGTAATATTCTTTACTGTAAACATATCACATTAAATGGATAACATTATGAAAACAAATTTGATTTTCGCATCCGTAAAGGGTACAGAATAATTAACATTAATAAATAAAAAATCTATTACAGTTTTCCGTGTCAATATTAATATACGAAAATTAATCTACGTCAAAAAACACAAAG